CGCTGCTGCTGCTGCTGCTGCTGCTGCTGCTGCTGCTGCTGGCTGTGTTAGACTGTATCCTTCTGATCGCATTAAACTGTCTCCTTTTGCCTCTATTTAACTGTCTCCTTCTGTCTCTTTCTGTCTCCTTTTGTCTCCTTCTGTCTCTTCATCTGTCTCCTTCTGTCTCCTTCTGTCTCTTTCTGTCGCCTTCTGTCTCTTTCTGTCTCTTTATCTGTCTCCTTCTCTCTCTTTCTGTCTCCTTCTGTCTCCTTCTGTCTCCTTCTGTCTCCTCTCTCTATCGTGCTGTCTCTTTATCTGTCTCCTTCTGTCTCTTTATCTGTCTCCTTCTGCTCTCCCTAAATTCTCTGTTTCTGTCTGTCTCCTTTCGTCTCCCTTAAACTGTCTCCTTTTGTCTCTATTCAGCTGTCTCCTTTTGTCTCCTTCTGTCTCCTTTTGTCTCCTTGCATCTCTTTCTGTCTCCTTCTGTCTCCTTCTGTCTCCTTTTGTCTCCTTCTGTCTCCTTATCTGTCTCCTTATATGTCTCCTTCTGTCTCCTCTCTCTTACCCTAAACCCTAAACCCTAGACCCTAAACCCTAAACCCTAAACGAATAAAGACACAGTTTGTTGGGGTGTATGCACAGCTGTCTCCTAAACCCTAAACCCTAAAACCCTAAAACCCTAAACCCTAAAGAGTGGAGATACTAGAGAGCCCATAGACCTACCCGTACCCTTAAACCCTAAACCCTAAACCCTAAAACCCTAAAACCCTAAGCAGTGAGCAGAAGCTACATAGGCCAGAGCTCCTCGCTAAACCCTAAACCCTAAACCCTAAAACCCTAAACCCTAAACCCTAAACCCTGCAGCTGACAGCTCGTAGAAACGCGAGATTTTCTTTTTCTCTTATTTTAGGGTTTAGGGTTTAGGGTTTAGCTGTCTCCCAATATATATATATATATATATATATATATATATATGGTCGATGCTGGGGTGTATAGGCAGCTCAGTGTCTCCGCATGCACGAAAGCCCCAAATATAATATAATATTACATATATAAATATATATATATATATATATATATATATATATATATATATATATATATATATATATATA